CCTGTCCCGCCTCACGGCTGTAGTAGCGGGGAGGGAGTAGAAGAGAGAAAGCTGAAGCGAAAGCAGCCCTCCCCCCCCCTCAAGAGAAGGGACGGAGCGGGACCCTCTTCCATTACTCTCGTTGGAGGCGCTCCGAGAGTTCCCTGAGGTCGGAGCTCCCTTACCTGCTCCCGCCGCGGGCTTCTTCCCTGCCCAGCCAGGACCCTGGCGTCGCCCAGGCAGCAGCGCCGCCCCGCCGCCGCCGCCACCACCACCACCTCCCTCCCTCCCTCGCTCGCTCGCTCGCTCGCTCGCTGACTCTGTCGGTCCCCCGCTCCCCCCTTCCGTCTTCCTCTGCCGCCGTCGCGGCGCGCGGGCCAACTTGAGCCGACTCCTCCTGGGCTCGCTCGTTCTGTTGTGTACGCTCCGCCTCGTCCTCCCATTGGCCGCCCTGAAAGAGTTCCCAGCAGCGCCACCTGCCGTCCCAAGGACGCAGCGGCGGAGCGGGGACGCGCACGAGAGCGCCCGACCACCTCCCGCTTTCGGAGTGCGCCGCTCGTGCTTCGCTCGCTCGCTCGCTCTCAGCTCGCCCGCCCACTTCTGTGACCGAACCTAACCGCGGGGCTCGGCTCCGAAAAGGGGGTGTTACGCGCCGGCTAGCTCCGCGCGAGCGCACGGCCCCCAACGGGAAAGGTTCCTGCCTGGCTCCGGAGGAGGACACGTCACTTCAAAGGGTGACGGCGGCGGCGGCGGCTTGACCCCGGGGCAGTTTTCGGCGCCTTCTCGGAGCTTTTCTTTGGGGCTGCTCTGCGCTCCTGCAAGCGGGGACAGGGCTGGAACCGTGGGTTTTAGGAGGCGTTTGGAAAAGAACGAGGCGGACGAGGCTTTGCAACCGAACTGTGTGGAATGTCCCTTTCCTAGCAACCGGACAAAGAATGAAACAGGCTGTTTGTTGTCTTTGGGGCTCATCATGAGAAGACGGCTGGGCTAAGGGCTGCCGGACTGCACGATCCTACCTGAGGAGGGCCAGTAGCCAGCTTGAGTGCTTCTTATGAGCTCATCTGCCCCAGAGAAATCTCGAAGGGGCTAGTTCTAGGTCAGCGGTGCGTGAGGAGCAACCATGTCTATAATTTGCAGTTTGCCAGTGGCAGATTGCATTCTTCTTGTGCAAGCACTTCTTCCTGGAGCTGTAGGAGTAATTTATTATAATTATTTTTTTTGCTCCAACCCAGATTCGGAGCATCAGGTGTTCAGATCTTTTGCCAGATGTGGATAATATGAATTTCAAAATATTTCCTTCCCATTTGCGAATGGAGAATGTCCTTTCGTTCTGATTAGCCCAAGTTAGGGGCTGCTGGCTACTGGTTAGTTGTCAGCTTGTTACCAGAAATAACTTAGGAAACTGCCTGGGTCAGACTGAGGTACACAACACACCCGTAAAGAATTTTAAAATTTTTTAAAAAATCAAAACATGCCAAAAGAATGGATTTAAGTTCTTAATGATTACTGCAGGATTATTACAGGCTACCTGAAACCTTCCCCCATTGAAAAAATCCATTATTTAGCTGGCATTGCCCCTCCAGAAATATGTGGTGAGGTGTTAGCAAATAAGGAACAAAAAAAGGTAATTCAGCACCAAATCTATCCACTTCATGGGCGGCAACCCCATAGACGTGTGTTGCCAAACTTTGGGTAACCTGGATGTTCTTGGACTGCAACTCCCAGAGGCCTTCACCACTAGCTCTGCTGGCTGAGGTTTCTGGGAGCTGCGCTCCAAAAACACCTGGGTTACCCAAGTTTGGGAACCACTGCCCTAGATGATGGCTACAATCGAGAATAAGTTGTCTGCACACATCTCAAGCTCTAAATATTACCGTATTTTCCGAGTTTAAAACAATACTTTTGTCTAAAATCTTTAGACTAAAAATTGAGTGTCATCGTATACACAGAAATAAGCTGAGGAGAGAACAAAAACAAGTGGAGGGGAAAGCAAGGATCAAAGTGATCCTGCAGCGCTTTGATCCCTGCTTTCCCCCTCCACTTGCTAAGTCCCACTTAGATTTCTTAATTTTGGGTTAGAAAATGGGGTTTTTATACATGGGCGTGTCTTATACATGGAAAAATATGGTAAGCCTGAAGGGGCTGGGCTAAGCCTATGGAGATCAAAACCAACACACTTGCTAATGGATGAATGCTGAAGAGAGTCTCTTGTCGGGACAAGACTCTAGCTGGACCACCTGAGAGTCACTTAATAGACTTTGAAGTGAAGTAGGAAGAAGAATAAAATGGGGCTGTTTGGATACAGGAGAAATGTAGTTAATGCAGCACATACAGTAAGTGCACGTAATTTTTTGGCCCACAAAGTGTACAAAAGAAGACCTAGCAAATGGCCAGAATAACACTGTTGAAGTGCTCTGCTTGTCAAAAATAGTATGATTATCAAAATTTTAATTTATTTTTAATTTCACCTATAGTTCATGTATCTCCATAATTGTAAATTGTGCAATACTTTGATATGAAGAAAGGAAGGAAAAAAGGAAGGAAGAAGGTGCTACTGGCAGAAAATTGCAGGATAGAGCTTGGAAGGTCACTTTTAAGCAGTACAGGTTGGTCCATTAAGACAAATGGGCACTGCCCTCCTCAGGCTACTGTCAGCCACCCCACTCTTGCCTGTCTCCTATCCTCAGGTAGAAGGTCAGGGTCCCGCTGTTCCTCTGCTGCTAAATTCCCAGATTTATCACACACTCTGTGAATGTATGAATGAGAATGAGATGGGACAAAAAGAGAAAGCAGACTGAATATGAGTATGACCAAGCAGAGAGGGAACCTGTGGGAAAGAACATTTTTAATTTGGAGGCAAAGTCTATTTTGCAGCTTCATAGCTGAGCAATGAAGTAAATTAATAAGGTAGAAGTGAGGCAGCGTCTGAATACCTGCCTTAACTTTGTGTGCATGTATATATAAAAGCTTGCCTTCCGGCTTGTACACATGGGTAATATGCCCAATTTTGCCTCTGGCAGTCCCTGTAATTCCCCTAGTTTCACCCACAATTGGCTGCTGTGCCTTTCACTGTACATACCACAATGGTCACCAGCCGCCACTTTTTTGAGAAGTATTAGTTAAACTTATTAATTTCCCTGCCTTATTAAGAATGGCACTATTCATATTTATCATTTGCTATCCATATTTGTCCTCAGTAATTGATTGTGTGTCTTCCAACTTGAGAGTCTGACTTTCCAGGACTCTTTTGCTTCATATGGGATTGTGTTTTTAAAAGAATTTTCAAGGTATAAGATATTCAGAAGTCAGTTACCATTTATAGCAGTATTAATAAAAGTTAGCAAAAGTGTGACTGCTGTTGTCTATACAAGCTCCACCCATGCTGTCAGCTTCTACTACTGCCGCTGGCCAGTAGCTTAACTTCAAGAATGTTTCCACCTCAGTTACCATTAGAACTATTAGGTCCTGTTTTTTTCCTGCTAATGTGAATGCTAATTCCCAACAAGGCTGACTGGACGGCTCAGTGGGTCCAAGTACACAGTAGAGAAAATACAGTTTGATCATCTGTGTATCTGCAATTTTTCAAATCAGGTTTCCATGAATGAATTGCTTTAGCCATCCAGACAACAATTTGCAGAAGGTGGCAGAGGAAGAGAGTTCGGTTTTCACAGAGCTCCAACAGCAGAAGCTGTCATAAGGTGCTAACAAGCCACTATTTGGCAACTTCCACATCTCTCTTTTTGTTTAGTTATCCTAAGTTCCCTAGCAATAGTGTGTTTGAGCAGTGAGTTAAAAACTTGTTTGTGTATGTGGAACCTAGGGTGCTTACTTGAGAGGAACTGACATTCCTACGATCATTAGATCAGGCAGTTCACATTGTAAAAAGAGGGCAAAACCATTGGAAATGGGGGGCGGGAACCCAAAAAGCAAGCAACCCTCCAAGACCCATCAGAAATGGGGGGCAAAAACCCCAAAGGCAAGCAACCCCTCAAGACCCATCGTAAATGGGGGAAAACCAAAAAACAAACAACCCCCCAAGACCCATCACAGCACAGAAACATAACCCCCCCTGGCCTAAAACCACACTGCAAAACCCACCCAGAACAGTTTTTAAAAAGCAGAAAGCAGTGCTTCACCTTACCAGGCAGTCCAAAGCCTCCTCCAATCACACTCACTCTAACCATTGGGGTGAAAGAGCTACAAAGAAGCAGCCTCTTCACCTACCAACGGTTAGCAATTTGAATTTCCTGCCTTTTTCCCCTTGCCTTTTTCTGTTCCTAACTTGAAGCTCCAGCCGCAAGTCGAAGCAAAATTTTGTGGCTGGAGCTGGCTGAAACTCGAACTGGTTGTAAGTCAGGATGTTCATAAGTTGATGAGGGACCACTGTATATATTTTTTCTTTTATTCTTATAGATGTACATATTAACATTCTTTATTCCATAAATTCTTCCACTCCTCAGTATTTATTTTCTATCCCAAATTTAGCATCTTTAAAGCCTCTTGCTGACCCTCTATGTCTATTAATATTTTAAAAACTTTTACTGATAAGGGATGAAAAGTCACTGAGTTTCAATTCGTCCATACACAATCTGATGTGAATTGCAAGTAAAATGGCCAGTGTAGTCAGCCCATCAGGTAAGCAGGGCCAGAGACTGGGAGCTCTATTCTCCACTGTGCTTCCTTGGAGAAAATAAGGATATAAATTGGATATAAATTGTTCAAAAATTCTTCAAAAACAACAGAGAGAATAGAAAGGGAAGTGGAGCTGCACTATATGTAAAAAACATGCATTCCTGATCAGAAATACAGCAGGAGGAGATTGGATGTCCCATTGAGAGCATCTGGATCAATCTAGTTGGTACAAAAAACAAAAGGAACATGGTTGTTAGAGTCTACTATCAGCCGCACAATCAAGGAGAGGAAGCGGATGAAACTTCTGAAAAACAAATTGCAAGGATGTCAAAGAGACACAATGTAGTATTGATGGGAGAGTTCAGTTATCTGGATATTGGGAGGCAAATTCTGCTAAGTATGGTCTTTCCAAGAAATGCCTGGCTTGTGTGGTGTTCAGTTATCTGGATATTTGTTGGGAGGCAAATTCTGCTAAGTATGATCTTTCCAAGAAATGCCTGGCTTGTGTGGTTGATAATTTTCCCTTACAAAAAGTGAAGAAAGAAACTAGAGGAGTAGCTGTCCTTGACTTGATTCTAACCAATAGAGGTGACTTAGTGGAGGAAGTGGCAGTTAGAGGAAATCTGGCCGAAAGCAACC